GATAAGGCGGAAAGAACAAACACGAAGAGAGGTCTGGTGGGGTATGTAAGCGTAAAACCAATGGGCCGACACTGTGCCTGTCATCCACTCTCGCTTCTAGAAGAAGGGTTCGGCCGTTGGAAAACGCGCTTCCTCGCCCGGACTGAGTTCTCATGCAGCACAAAGAAGAGTTCTCATGCAGCAAAAATAGTTGGCCCGGCTGCTTTAATAAGTCTGTCTTTCTGCAAACACAAGCCTGTCAATCCCAGATCAGAGTGAAGCTTCGCTTAATAATGGCAAAGCGCTAGCCCCGACGGCGAACATGGAGCTTTTCAGCCAGTTTATATGCCGTGTGCGGCAGGAATCAACAAAACGAGATAGCCACACCCTTTAACTTAGCGTCTGCCTCCGCAATCGCTGTAGGATATCTACTTAGTGCAGTAAGGTTCTAGCATAAATTAAACCAGCACATCATCCATAAAACTGGCTTTCAAAAAGCCAATCCTAATCTGAAGCAGGCGGGAAGTCAGTGCAGAAGTCATGACTTATGCACTCTCCCATCTTTGAATACAATGCCCCCGTTGTCATTCACGCTGCTTATGCCACAACAGAGCTTGACACATAGACTCGTTGCGTCATTCATCATCTGCGGAGCTAACAGTATAGATCAAATCAATGTTAATGTTATTCATAGTTTATTGTAATTGAGACTTAGTGAACAGCCAGTGTTCGAGAAACAGTGGGCTTCTGTCCTTTTTATGATGAATAACTTCCAAAAAACATGGTATCGACATGCTATTCCCATCATTAGAACAGCTATAAGAAAACTAACTGGAAGGCAGATCAAACTTTCATTGTGAGGCAGAAATGTTGTAGGCCCGTGTACTCAGATTTGGGTGCACGTTAAAGAACCCCAGGTGGTCAAAATTTCCGGAGCCCTCCACTACGGCGTCTCTCATAATCATATGGTGGTTTTGGGACGTTAAACCCCACATATAAATCAAACTTTCATTGTGATTTTTTATACAATCCTAAAAAATAATAAATGAGCGCACACAATTTTATGTAGACACTATAACGAGAGCTATAGCGCTTTGCAAATATTTTCTGCCATTACGTCTACAGTTTAGAATAAAAGATACCAATACAGAAACCAAAACAGTGGCTGTTTGATGCGCTTCTCACGAAAACTTATCCTGAGTACAAGTAATTATCCTGGCCACTTCTCTACTTCTTTTATTGCGTCCTTTCCAGCACTAATTACAATCCGCTATGTATCACGAACATATTTGACTCACATTAGTAATGATTTCTAATTACTTTCAGTTGTGTAAGAGTTCGTAAATAACTCTTTGTGGTTGTCTCGAAACCAACACGCCTTATTGATACGCCATTCTACGTCTACATGCTTGTAAAAAAGGATAATAATAACACCAAGATGAAATCAATGTGTCTGTTGTTTATCCGGTCCATGCATATGTTTGTCAAGCTGATTACGTCAACCGCGGGAACGTGCACTTCGGCGGGAACGAGAGACACTGCTCAAATCTCGGCAAACCCGCGTTCTGTCCCAACAATTCGCGTGAGCGAATCCAATCCAAAGCCGAAGCGTGTGCACACTACGCACTAACAGGATTCATGCAGCTTTGAAACAAGGGGACTAGGAGAACTTCATTCTCGTTTCGTGTTTTTTCGAGGTGATTACTCTATAATTTAACCTGACCTTTTTTTTTTCTTTCCTTTTGAGTAACAACCTACCCTTGTCGGTGCGGGGCCATTACGTATTTAGCGGGTGAACGTGTATTGTAATGCGTAGTTCGACCGTTTTCGGTTCATTTTCAGGAGTTCGTTGTTTTCTCTGCTGAAGCGAATGGTTCGGAAACGATTAAAGAAAAAAAAAATAAGCCAGCGTAACAGCGACCTACAAAGTAGTCTGATAACATTTAAGGCAGTCCGCACAACCCTGGCTTTGTAATTAACTCGGGTCACACGGGTTTTAAGTTTCGCACCTCTTGGCGCCATCCATGCTCCTCTGACGTCGAACACTTTCTATTTTCGAGCTTAATCGAGAACCAATTCACCCCGGGGCGAGGCTTAAGTGACGCTGCTGCCCTTGCCTCCCGGATCGTTTGCGGCGAAGATCCCGCCCCTGTATGCGATAATCGGGAATTACGGTCCCCCCGTGCCCGAACGATTAGGGAGCACCGAATGCACTTCGCTCAGGGCTGCCGAAAGATAACAATCAACGATGCGGCTGTAACAAGTTTTTTTCGGAAGTAGCTTACTTGAGCCTTGTTTTATTAGCGCAGGGTAGCGGAGCATGCGAATCATTTTTAGTATTTTTGGCACAGCATTCCCTAGTGGAAAGACTGTGTGTGTGTGCGTGTGTGTGTGTGTGTGCGTGCGTGCGTGTGCGTGTGTGCGTATGCGTGTGTGTGCGTGCGTATGCGTGTGTGTGTGTGTGTGTGTGTGTGCGTATGCGTGTGTGTGTGTGTGTGTGTGTGTGTGTGCGTGTGCGTGCGTGCGTGAGTGTGTGTGTGTGTGCGTGTGTGTGTGTGTGTGTGTGTGTGTGTCTGTGTGTGTGTGTGTGTGTGTGTGTGTGTGTGTGTGTGTGTGTGTGTGTGTGTCAGTTTTCCAGCAAGCGAGTGAAGAAAAACGCAAAAAACACATGAATAAAAGGGTACGTAGCACATTGTGACCCCATCGCATACGAATAGGGATAGTAAGAGGTTACAAACTTCAACAGACGCTTATTTCAGGAACACGAAACAGCATATGCTGCTTGTTTTATACGTTTGTTACTCCACTGAGCATGCCTTGTGAAATAACTCTGTATTAATAAAGGTCACTTTAAACACAGATAGAGCTATATTAATATTACAGCAATTTCCTCTGTCGAGTAACTTTGTTAAGCACTGTTCACATGTATAGGAAATCTTCTGAGTCAGGCTACAGTCTTGCGGTATCGAAGTTTGCTAATTTTTCAGCATAGGCGAGAATTGGAGCTGTGCGTGTAGCAAAAGCTTGGGCGCGAAACGAATTCAAATATTGAAGCGCGAGTGTAAATCAAATCGAATATTTCTAGAATATTTTGCGAATACTTTCATGCAAAATTGCAGGCGCGAAAGTTGGAGAAGAATGCTGAGCATATTGTTATGACATAGCAACATGAAAGTGTTTCTTTTGGCTAGGTTGATGAAGCGCTGGTGGAGTCGAGTTTAATAGTTGTTTTATCAGGAATGAGGCAATGCAGTGGCCAAATTGTATATATGTGCTTACATGATTTCATGCAACCGAAGTGTTGCCGACAACACTGTACACGTGAAAGGCGGAAAAGCTATTTCTTCAGCCTCTCGTCCTCGTTCAACTTTTGTGGAAGGCCAACTGGTGTGGCAGATAAGGGAGTGCTCCCTTCGTGTCCGTAGTCACAAATCTGCCTCATAGATGTCAGTACATAGGAACATCTGAATTTTTGGATGCTAAAATCTATCACAGTCCCTATACGATCTGATCTTTCGAACTTTCTGCCCAAATTTCAGGCCCAAAACAGCGTTAACTAAGCCTTCATCTCTGCCACATCGATTGTCCCCATGTTACAACCAGAGTTTTCATTAGTCAATACATTTGCGACAATAGTAAATCTTGAAAGGCAGCTTTGCCGCTGGACATTACTATAACAAGGCGAAGCATACTAAAATATTAAAGGGGTCATTGTTAATCGGACGTAGTATGTATTGTCTTCGGAAAGTTTGAATAATTCAAATAGCGAAATTCTTGTGCAAATCAAGTAAAAATGCAAACACCATTCAAAAATTTTTGATGTTTTGAATATTCGCAGAACACTAGTAAGAATCGATATTTTCTGATATAGGCATAAATAAGAATCTTACCCCGGTTTGTTCCCTGACCCACACTGCTTTCTTCTTGACTCTTAAGGTTACACCTATCATTTTCCTTTCCTTATCTCGCTGTGTCATCCTCAATTTAAGTTTAACCCTATTTGTAAGTCTCCTGGTTTCTGCTCCGTAGGTAAGTACCGGCAAGACGCAGCTGTTATATCCCTTCTACGTAAGGGATAGTGGTAGATTAGCATTCATGACTTGAGAATGCTTGTAGAGTGTGCTTCACCCCATTCTTATACTTCTAGTAACTTCAACCTCGTGGTTCGTCTCCGTGGTTACTACTTCTCCTAAGTAAGACGTACTCTTTTACAACATAAAGCGCATTGCTACCTATATATTGAAGCGCCGTTCTCTTCCGAGGTTAATATACACTACTATCGTTTTATACAGATTAAATTTAAGACCTACTTTTCTGCACTCTTTGTCTAATTTAGTAATCAATAGTTGCAATTCGTCCCCTGAGTTACTCAGCAATACAAAGTCATCAGCGCAGCGCTGATTCCTGAGGTATTCTCCATTAACTGCTATCCCTACCTCATCCCGTTCTAGGCCTCCTGGGTAAAGGATATCATAGTTTAAAGCAAGAAGAATAAACGGACATGGGCTGGGCACGTAGTGCTTAGGCAGAATAACTCTTGGTCATTAAGGGTAACTAACTAGATTTCTAGAGAAGGCAAACAGGTGAGAAGGAAACAGAAAGTTAGGTGAACAGATAAGATTAAGAAATTCGCGGGTATAATTCGGCAGCAGCAATCCCAGAACTGAGTTCACTCGCTGAAAATGGGACAGGCCTTGGTCCTGTAGTGGGCGTAGTCAGGATGATGATGATAAATCTTTCTTACTGTATTGCTGATATATTTTGTGCAATCTTATCTTTGCCGATTCATATTAGATATAACATATTCCAAAGACATGCCACTCCTGCTATGACCATCCCCGTGGCTTCACCATCAGTATTATTTTTTATTCTATTTGCAGAATTTTAACGAAGTTATATAGTAACTCTCGCCTTTCATAGCCGCAGCCATTTCGCCACGATGTTACTCTAATACTGAAGCTATCAGCGATCTGCGAACCAACTTGATTCTCTGTGTTAGACATTTGCGATTGCCCTTGCAGGACAACCAGATGTACCTGCACCTACTGAAACTGACTCGGCTGCTGCGACTGGCGCGGCTGCTGCAAAAGATGGACCGGTACTCGCAGTACAGCGTGGTGGTCCTCACGCTTCTCATGCTCATGTTCACACTCGTCTCGCACTGGCTCGCATGCATATGGTTTGTCATCGCCGTCCAGGAGATGGAGTCATTCCCTAACAACAACATCAGTGAGTATTCATCGTCTCCAACAGTTTTTGTGTCAACATAAAATACAACAATACTTTTGCGATCGCACTGTACAAAAGGACATCATTAGCGAGAACCAATGACTTGGTTTCAACTTCTACTTTTTCATACGATCGATCGTGTACTTAGCTTTGAGTGAGTGAAACAACTTTGTTTTGTCCACAATAGGCGCGAGTTAACTCGATGTCACCTGGCTCTACTCGGGAATGGTCAGGTTAAACCCTCGAGCTGTCAAGTTTAACACCTTTTTATACTTCCACTCTTGTCTTGAAACAATTTTTCACAACAAAACTGCCTTCAAATTCAAAAGTTAAATGAGCAATAAAATTATTTGGTAATTACATCAGTGAGAGGAACAATCAATACAAGCCTAAAGCTATCTCAGGGTTTAAGTTCCACAAGGCATCACGAGCACCCTTTTTATGCTTTCACTTTTGTCTTCTCTGTATCAGGGTTCTTCTTTGTGCTACCATTCCTCACCCGATGCAGGATATTAAACAAGACAAGCAAACCTATTCTTTTTTTTGGGCATTGCGCTTTTGCAGTAGCCAGTATCAAGAGATTACACTGCCAACGATATATCTTCTCCTCAACTCACTAACTTTTTGTGCTGATGACGCAGGTTGGTTGAACCAGCTGTCTATGAAGTTGCAATACGACGTGCTGCGACCCCTCGACATGGCCGCCACGTACATCACGGCACTCTACTTCACCACCAGCTCGCTCACCAGCGTGGGCTTCGGGAACGTAGCGGCCAACACGAACGCCGAGAAGGTGTTCTCCATCCTTACCATGCTCATAGGAGGTGAGAAGGACACATCACTCGTCGCTCTTAAACAAACAAGTCTCAGGGGTGTCTCGATGCACACGAGTCATTCGCGACACGATTCATCTTAGTGTAAAGTGGAGAAGTCAACATATCCAATGGCGTGCGCGGGTTTTCCCATCAAGCGGGGGTGGGGACAGAGTTTTATCGCAGCTCGCTCCAACTCTCAGGTCGGCAGTGTACAAAATACAACTATGTTTCACAGTGGATGAACAGAAACTAAAATGAAGTGATGACGTTCTTTTCACAATGATCTTCCTTTGGTCTCTGGCTTTCGGGAATAAGGACGGGATATAAAGAGTTCTTATAAACAACATCCGGGGTATTCGGCCACCAATACCACCTAAAACCTGCGTAGCCATAGCGTTGCTCTTTAAACAATGATGGCACAAGCACGAGTCCGTACGACCGAGTAAAAGTATGGAACAGACTAACCCCCCCCCGCCCTTTCGGTGATTAAAAAGTGGGAAGGCGCCCCTCTCCCCACCCTTCTACACAGATGAGTATGCTGTAGATAAATGCAGCTGAAGTGTACACAGAACAAAGAAACTAATTCGTTCCAAACATCGTACAAAAATGTTGAGCTGTTCTAAGCTATCTCCCTGTACCGTACAAAAAGCGCTGCAAGCAATAGGAACAAAGGGCCACTTTGACTCACTCTGCCTTTTTCCGTCTCTGCCCTACAGCGCTGATGCACGCCGTGGTGTTTGGGAACGTGACGGCGATCATCCAGCGCATGTACGCGCGGCGGTCGCTGTACCAGACCAAGCTGCGGGACCTGAAGGACTTCTTTCGGCTCCATCAGCTCCCCAAGCAGCTGCGGCAGCGCATGATGGACTTCTTCCAGACCACCTGGTCACTCAACAACGGCATCGACCCGAGCGACGTGCTGCGCGAATTTCCCGACGAGCTGCTCGGCGACGTGTCCATGCACCTGCACAAGGAGATACTCTCGCTGCCCATCTTCGAGCCGGCGCCCCAGGGATGCCTCAAGCTCCTGTCGCGGCACGTGCGCAGCAACTTCTGCGCGCCCGGAGAGTATCTGGTGCACAAAGGGGACGCCCTCTCCTACATACACCTCGTCTGCAACGGGTCCATGGAGGTGCTCCAGGAGAGCATGGTCGTCGCCATCTTAGGTGCGTTAATCTAGCCCGTATTGGCGTGCAAAGTCTGGTTGTCTTTCACCAACCATTTGCAATGCTCTCTCAAGACACAAGACGAGCCTTCATATGTGTGAAGGTTCTAGAATGTTCTCCAAGCATCTGATCAGATTGCGCGTACGAAACGCGTAATCTATAAAACGGACGCGGACGTCAGCTGAGCTGACATTCTTGTCTTCCACCCGTCGTCCCCCTCCTCCGTTCTATTAAGTGATGCATTCTGCGGATGGCTGCATATGAACTAGAGCGCCAGAATCACTACAAAAGCACGTGATCTTGTAGTGCAATATTTTAGCACGTGTTTCTGTTGGCCCATGAAGTATATTTAGGTTGTTGCCTCCATGCCATTTAGACTTTAATCTCGGCTGATTTTCTATTTTCTTACAACGCTGAAGCGGCCGACACTTCTGTATACGGCAGTGTTATCCAACACACCTATACTTCTAAAAGGCGATCGTATACTGAACGCAAACGGACTAATAAACCGAGTTTTACTGACACTCGCGAGCATGAAGCGTGTGCTGTCGTTTTGACATAAAAGTGCACGCGCATGTCACGCAGGCAAGGGGGACCTTGTGGGCAGCGACATTTCATTGACGGCCGGAACGGAAACCGTCATGAAGTCAAGCAGCGACGTCAAGGCCCTGACCTACTGCGATCTCAAGTGCCTTTTCATCCCGGGCCTGGTCGAAGTGCTCAAGCTATACCCGGAGTTCGCGGAAAGCTTCTGCCACGACATCGTGCACGACCTCACGTACAACCTGAGGGAAGGTTACGAGAATGAGGTAAGTTGCCGTGCTGTTCCCAAAAGTTTTGAAGTACCACCCCGATTGCATTCATTTTTCTTTTCAATTAGAATTTTATGAAGTTTCTTTTTTCTTTCATAGAGCTCTCACATGGATTGTCATACACAATGTTCTCTGTCTTTGAGCATTAGGTTCCGCGGATTTCCTGGAACTGTAATGTAAAGATATAACATACTCAAGCGTTCCCCTATGCATTCGTCTAATATCACTTGAAGGTGGAAGCTATCTTCGTTTCCTTTCGATTCGATTGTATTGATAATCCACTTATTAAATCCGCAATGATACCCTTAATTCTTAGCGAGTCACTGCAATTGATCGGAAAGACTTGAGGGCATGTCCTTCGAAGAATCAATCTTATTTCAATTACTGATCTTCAGTGTAGCACAAAAATGGTTGATAAAAATGTGCAGAGTATTGCATTCACTCTTTTAAGAGAACGAAGGTGGCGTCACTATGACTGTATACGCTACCTCGTAGGGAGCATATACAGTAAACCCAGTTGTGACTTCCCTATATGCTATCTTCATACGGTAGTGTCTAACAAGACTGTCGATCCCTCCGCCTTCTTTTGTTCTCTCTGTACAGGCGGAAGAAGCAAACGGCGTGTGTTCGCTAACCCTGCCGTCGATATCGGAGGACGATGAGGAGACGGGCAGTGAAGAGACGGCGCCGGGCTCTCCCGTGTCCAACGGCCAGGAGACCGGCGCCAAGCTCAAGGAGGACTCGTGGGAGCCGTCCGCGACCACGGTGCCCAGCCGCACGCCTGCGCCGCAGGTGCCTCCGGTGCCCGCGGCTGGTCGCACAGAAGCGGCGCCCTTTGCAAGGCGCACGTCGGCCCTAAGCTCGCCTTTTCGCACACCCACGTCCATAGCCATGGAAAAGCTGAGACCCGTCGCCACATTGCCGCATCTAGGTGCGTGTTTTATTTATTGATTGATTGATTGATTGATTGATTGATTGATTGATTGATTGATTGATTGATTGATTTCAGTTATCATGCATGTCGCGTTCAGCCGAGTGACGTATATGTGTGCTCGTCTCACAGGCCGCTCCGTGGAGCTATTCGAGCTTCGCGACGAGATGGAGCAGCTCCGGGGCAGCGTGGAACGGCTGGACGCACAGCTCAAGAGTGTCTCCCAAGACGTGGGCGGCCTGACGCAGGAGCTGCGCGCCAGCGCCCGGCTCCTTCAGCAGCTGTGCAGCGGGTGCGTACAGCTAGCGACGCGGTCGCCCGGCACACCACCCGGAGGCATCAAGCTGCCGCCAACGCAGCAAGATCAGCAGCATCAGACGCCGCTGGGGTCGCCCAATGGCCTGCTCCAGAGCCCGCCGCCTTTCAGCGTGACGACGATGCAGTCTCAGCTGCGCGTGTCGCACCAGGGCTCTCAGACGGACTGCAGCTTATTGGAAGAGATGCTCATCAAGATGGCCGACTCGGGCTCGCCGCCCCCGAACTCGGGCTACTCCTCGGGCTCGTCCAACGAGGAGAGGGTCAAGTTCATCATTGGTCATCCGTCACCGCGCCGCTGCATCGCTTCGTCGTCAGAGGACAGTGCTCTGCTCAGTGTGTCCAGGGACCATCTCGTGCCATCGACCACACTGTCTTCGCGGTCGTGGCAAGTGTCGACCGAGTTCTCGGAAGTGCCGGCTTCGCCCGGGAGACCCGACCACGTCATTGATGTGGAAGAATCGCTGCGCCGGAGGCTCTCAACTGAACTGTAGCCAGTGTTATCCGAACGTATGGCTGTCCTTCACCACCCGTCCAGTTCTAGTCAGTGAGGAGCGTGCTTACGCGGCTGCTCTGGCCGCTCCTGTGGGCCCCGTCATGCGAGTCTGACTGGCTTGTATCGTTTCTCGAGAGATTCTCTCGACGAAACAATCAACCGGACCACACTCGAAGAAGATCTCAGCTCTGTGCATAGCGCAGCATCCGCAGCCTCCACCTGAGCTACCGTACATATTTTCATTGAACGGAGATGCTTTAATCTTAGATACAGAACACGCCTGCAGGTCTCCCTCTTCGTTCTAGTTTGAGCAAGAGAATGAAAAGTGCGACATCGCACGAGTTTTGTGGCATCGCGGAGTTTTCGCGACGTTCAGCTTTGCCGCACTAACTAGCACCAAGACAACAGCTCATCTCCGAGAGCATCACATCTGCTTCCCGCAAGAGATCAAGGCGACACCACGGCGCATTCGCCTTTAGTTGCTCGGCCCCACCTGAAGCAGCTTTCACGGACATTTCTTGCTTTTTTTGTATCATTGGAACATTACAGCTAACAGCTCACGCAGGTCTAAGCAGGACGCTTCTTTGTTTTGCATTGCAGCTAGTGCGAGTGTTCCACTCTTGCTCCAGTATTAACGGCGCACTTGCTCACTTCGTCACACGGCAAACAACTGCGTCACGATCGCGATGGCAAGACCGGAGCGCTGGGCTTCTCAAGTTCAGCGGTGACTTCAGTGTGCGCGCCTGCTCTGTGTGTCTCAAGCGCGGCCGATACATCCGCATAGAACTCCTCGAACGCTTGTTTCGCTTCAAGCTTGCCTCCGCAGCTGACCATCCCGCATAGAGCATCGCACCGACGCTGCGTATGGCACGGGCTAGGTCCTTGCCCACCTGCGCCTACGCTACATGAGTAGCCTGCTGTGAACTCCCCGCTCCATGCATTACCCTGCTGTACATACACGCGATAGTGTTTGCAGAGCGAAGGAGACGTTGGACAGGAAAAGACTTCCATCGGACTTACCTGCTTCGTTCTATTCACCCTGTGTCTGCCCGTACCGGCAGGTTTTATTTCGCGTGTGCTGAAGAGTTAAGTTGTCCGGTAAGCCGGCACGGGACACTGGCGGTCAGCAATATACTGGGTCGGTCACAGAAGTGTCGTTTTGTTTGTAATATCCAAATCGATGATATGTTCGATTGATTTTTTTTATTTGTCTCCTTTATTGCTTGGTCTGTATGCCGCTGCGAATGCCTGCTGTTATGATCACGACCTTTGACGTCGCTATTTTGGCTCATTTGGCTTGACTTATTTTTCAGAGAACCAGTCCCGTAAAACGAAGCTTATACGACATTACAGAACTGTTAGCTGCCTGTTATTAGGTAGAGTCGGACAATGCGGCAAAACAAAACGAAAGAGCAACCATCATAGAATATAGTAAATAGAGTGCAGAGTCGCACTTGGCATCTTTCTTTCTCCTTCGTTACCGAATTGAGAAGTAGTTTTGGTACAAGCGAATCAGACATCTAAGTGGTCATCAACTTCCCTAAACTTGTCAGAACTGAATTTAACCTAGTGATGTCTGAAAAAGAGTTCTGCTTGATCTAGCAGTAGGTTCACGCTTTGTTTAGACTCATAATTTCTTTCTAGTACGGCCAGAGCCGCTGATTATAATAAGAAAAACTTTAGATATACATTTATTCTGCACTCAGCGAAGAACCTTTGACCTACCATACTCGTCTTACCTTGAGCTCGGTAGGCGATCAAGTGTAAAAACAGCGTGGTATTAATGGACATAAGATCTCTCTCCAGACGTAATTGCGATGATCGACTGTGATGAGAACAGCTGAAGAAAGCATGTTTACCGAAACTTAGCATTATCCCTACACTTGAAAAGAAGTAATTGAGGAAGAAATGATGGCTCAAAATCGGTAAATATGACTGTAAACGATAAATTTCTAAGCTCTTATGGCTTGTCTCAGTGGCATGTGTGATTGGACGTGGGGCCTTCGTTTCTTAAGCTTTCAGCACGCGGTTCATCAGAAAAGGAATTACGTTGTACTACCGAAGAATAGGAGGATGATCGAGCAATAAAAAACTTACCTCTTACTGCTCCTGCCACTGAACCTTCATACACATATGTTTATGTTTAAAACGCACGACAGACAAACACGCGACGCATAAATGAACGTGTCAGAATGAGCATCAGAAACCAGCAGTCGTCTAACATCTCATAGTTGTTACCATGTCTTCCCAAAGCGTTAATTCTTCGAGCATGCGTCATCATCTTTGTTTCGACTCTCCACCTCTTCTCTGTCGCTCCGCACAACAGGCACAATTCACTAGAGGTCAGCGTGTATGTTTAAACGACGTGACTTCCATACACTCGCAAATACAAAACATCTTGGCGGGCATGCTGATAGGACGTAGCATTTTTTTTTCTTGATGATAGCGCAACATCTGACGGTTCTAACACAGAATGATTTTTTTGTGTGTGTGCTCTGAGCACAGGCGTACGCGATGGTGTATCTTACAACACTGACTAGCTTGTACAGTAATATTTGTATACAAATTACAAAACAAAACATCATTGATTCGTTTCTTACAACGCAAAGAATGATCGTTCATTCACATAAGTTGTTCTACGTGATCACACTCAGTTTGTGATCACGTAGAACACATTGATGCCAATACAGTGATGTCAATGCAGCAAGCGGGAAAACATTGCTTGCTTAGCCTGCTTCTGTTCTCCCGCCATCAAATCAACACCTCTTCTCGATTCCGCTCTTTTTTTAATTTTTTACCTGCGTGGTCTGACATGTCAAAGCGATCAATGGAGCAACCCGTTCGTAGAGATATCAACTAAATTAAATGCAATTCTACCTCCGACTGCTGCACTGCCTTGCCCTCACTAACAATACTAAAGTGATTCAAACGAAAGTTACATTGCCCTTGAAATGTCCACAGCACAGTTCTTTTAATTATTAAATGAAATGAGGCGCTTATAAGTGCCAAGTGCTTAAAAGCGAACTAAAGGTATTTTTTCAAGGAAAGTAACGCTTCTTTCAATTTACTATTCCCTAAGTTTGTCTCTATGTTTGGACATCTCAGATTTTGTACTCAGTGGCTGTAAAACACCTGTCAAATACTGTGCGAGGTAAAAACTCGAATTCTGTCCCTTTCTTCCTTCCCAATAGGGCTTTTGACATCACAAATTCAGCTCACCTTACACGTGGCTTTTTAACTAGACTGTCGTGGTCGGCAAACTGGTCGCACACAGTAGCATATTAAAAATTTATAACGACAAACTCTAACGCCTAAACAGCCATGCGTTTTAAAAACGCCGGCGTATAGTTGCAAAGACGTATGTGCGAGTGTCTTTTTATTTATTTATTTTTCTAATTATGTATTTTTCACGTTGTTTCGTGGTCGCTACAATCATCACAACATCCATGACGATGCGGAAGCGAGTAATTCCATGTGGGTATGGAGTAAAGGCACTCAATCATTAATCTTCCAGTCATCCCTTTCCACTGTTGCTTTCACACGTCCTCCTAATGCTTTGGCAGCAAAGAATGATTACGCAGCCTATTTTGATAACGGCTGTTCTTATCACTTTACATCATGGTCGTTTCATTTTAGATTAGTCTGCGTTTTTTTTTTCTATAACGAAGACGCAACACGTGTAAAGTCACGTGCTTGCGACAGTGTGCAAAAAAAAAAGGTTAGGCAAAATGGCTGCTGCGACGTCAACTAATTTGTGTAGGATATTATTCTTAATATCTGCAATTTTCGGGTCTTACTCGTGTGAGTTTCGATGAATCGAACGACAAGGACACCGCCTTTCAACGTGAAGTCTGAGTTACGGCCTTTCATTTCGGTTCAGCTTACTACCACCCCCGTGAATATGATCTCTAACAATGTGTGTGAATGCGTGGGGCCGCTTTGTGGAATGCATTGTGTGCACGGGGTGCGCAGCGTGTCTCAAACTACGGTACACATGGTCCAGTGATACCCGCAATAAAGCGTTGCTTGATCCTCAAGCTCAGCTGCAAGCGTGTTTGTAGAGATCTTGCGAGATGTCGTTAAGCGGTTCTGCGCCGTGACGCAAAGAGATGTATAACAAAACATATATAACTTAACGCGATGCGACGGAGCAAGTGCATACCGACACACGTACACGTTAAACATCTGACACAAGTGGCAAGAGTAGGAGACCGGCGTGCCTACAAGTTGAAAAAGTCTTGGAATGCTGCAAGTACGTAATCGTCATAACAAGACGTCTTTATATTTACGCTTATACTCATGCCATTTGCTCTATTTCTTTGAATGATGATGTCACAAAATGTAGGTCATTTGTTCCTCTGAAAATTCGTTTTCAATGCCGTTTTATCACGAACTTTTCATCCTCTGTACATAACCATCCGTATTCCCTCGTCGTTTATACAGTATTAAAGATCTCCTTATATAGCTTCACCATCCATGTTTAGAGCACAATTCACTCTAGTCTCCATTTGTTTTGTTTTGTTTTTCTTTGTAGTCCAGTTATCCTCTCGAATCTTCTGCTTTGTGTTACCCCTTTCCTCCTTCTTCATCTTCTTGCTCTTTTAGGACGAATGAGCAGCCTGGGAGAGCACCCCATTGCAGACGATTTGTACGCGTCGGTTTATCTTGCAAATAAAACGTTTCAGAAACCATTTTGGCTATCGTCTGTCCTTTCAGAATGACTGCGTGCGTGCAACAGTGATGGTAGTCCGAACATATTCGCACTACAAAGCCAAACATGTTTCTCTACTCGCTCACTAGGAGTAAACTGAAGAGAATATTAGAATGTTGATTGATTGATTGATTGATTGATTGATTGATTGATTGATTGATTGATTGATTGATTGATTGATTGATTGATTGATTGATTGATTGATTGATTGATTGAGACGTTTTGTTGTTTATCATAGGTCCAAGCATTTACTCGTACGCGCTACCTAGAATTAGTATTGGGTTCAAAGTTTCAAAATCTGGTATTCTAAGCGCCAAAATACGATATCATGAAGAGGCGCCTGCTGGTGGAGGACTCCCGAAACGTCGACTTATCAGGTGCTCTATAATCGCACACTGCATGGTCCTCTAGAATTCCGCCTCCATCGAATTGCGCCGGGGATAGTACCCGCTGCCTTTCCGTCGGGCACAAACCTTTACTGAAACACACAGTTTATAACAGAAGAGAGAGATATATATAAATAGAGAGGAAATGCAGGGAGGTTAACGAAGCTTGGCTCGGTTGGCTACCTTACACTTGAGGTGGGGGAAAGGGATAATAATAGAAAGGAAAGAGATAGAAAAGAAGAAGGGTAAGAAAGAAAAGCATGAATAGTCAGCTCGAGACTACACAGCACGGTCTCACACTGTTATTTCACAAGCGGTCGTGAAGTCTGGTGGTCCTCAAGAAGTACAAGAGGGCTTTCGTGGCTTTGCGTGCATGGGAAGCTGTCGGCCAGGGTCCCAGGATCTTCTCTTCTGTAAGCGGCCGTGAATCCAGCTGACAGAGCTTGGCTTCCATAATACGTCGTTCAGACTGGTATGCTGGGCAATGACATAGAATGTGCTCAAGCGTTTCCTCGCAGGCGCAGATGTTGCATGCCGAAGTGCTCGCCATTACAAGGAGACGAGAGTATGTATTCGTAAACGCCACGCGCAACCTCATGCGACACAGTAAAGTTTCAGCGCATCGTGGGAGCCCGTATGGCAAACGAAGTTGTAAGTTTGCGTCGATCGAATACAGGTGCGTGTTGGAGAAATCCAATGAATTCCATTGTAGGAGAGTTATACGGCGAGCAAGGGATTGTAGTTGCTTTGCAGCGTCTGTTCTCAAGAGTGGTATTGGCGTACGCAGGTCTTGGTCATGAACCGATCGAGCAGCTTCATCCGCGCGATCATTGCCGACAATTCCGCAATGACTCGGCAACCACTGAAATACAATATCGTGACATTCCTTGAGCGCTTCGTGGTAGTCGTGCCTTATCTGATATACTGATTGTCCGTGTAACCCGTGCTGCATAACAAACTGTAGTGTCTGTAAGGCTGACCTCGAGTCGCAAAAGATGGCCCATCGATTAGGTTGCTGCCGAAGAATGTACCTTACTGCACCTTGAAGCGCTACTAGCTCCGCTGCTGTCGACGTCGTGGTGTGAGAAAATTTCTATTGAAGCAACACATTATCAGATGGAACAACCACTGCTCCTGTAGAGCTGTTGGAATGGAGCCATCGGTGTAAACATGTATGCGGTCAAAGTACCTTTCGTCCAACACATGCAAAGTCAATTGCTTCAGGGCTAGCGGTGACATTCGTGCCTTCTTAACAATTCCAGGAACTGATAAGCGCACGTCAGGTTGACGGATACTCAATAACGCCGCTGCTGGATGCATCGCAAGTTTGAAGCCAGGCGGTAATATAATATGTCCTGATGTTTTGTCACAATACCGCAGAACGACAAATGAAACTTTCGCGCTGTCAAACACGCTAAATGATGTGACGGTAGCCGTGATAAATGCCGAATGTGCGCTCTCAGCGTTTCGACAATGATATGCGTTGTGACCGGCTGTTCTTGTGCGATAACAATAGTTGCCACTGTCGATGAGCATCTTGGAAGACCAAGACATGTCCGAAGTGTTCGGGCTTGTACGCTCTGCAGTGCACTGATGTTAGTCTTGCACGTGTTGAACAGGACAGGAAGGCTGTACCGGAGAATTCCGAGAAAGAGGGCTGTATAAAGCTGCAACATGGAGTGCACGGATGGGCCCCATGATTTTCCGGCGACGAACTTGAATACATTTTCAATGCCAATGAGCTTTTTCTTCAGGTATGTGACATGCGGCTCCAGGTTAGGTCACGATCTATAATGACACCTAAGAATCTATGACTGCTTTTATATGCGCTTGATCTGCCATCGTTGCGCAATGGGTAGAAAGACATCGGTTTGCGTGTAAACGCCACCGCTGCACATTTTTCTGTGGCGTTAGTCAAACCTTGCTGGCGAAGGTATGCCGATGTCATTGTTGCCACTTTCTGTATCCTTGCGCGCACTTGAGGCCGTGTCCCGCCGGACACTCAAGTGCAGATATCATCAGCGTAGAGAGATATATAAGCTGTCTGTGGCAGCATTTCGGTGAGCCCCACCAAAACCAGGTTGAAAAGAGTCAGACTCAAAACACCGCCTTGTGGCACCCCATGACTTGTGAAATGCTTATTTGTAGGCCCATCTTCAGCTCAAATGAACATGGATCTCTTTGTGAGGTAGCTTCTTACCCATCGAAAGACACGACCTCCAAGTTCAGCTGCTTCAAGAGCATTGAAAACAGCCTCATGGGTCACATTGTCATAGGCACCTTTCACGTCTAAGAACAGAGCTACTCACAGACACTT